TCAAAGGTCTTTCCCAACCAGGTAGTAGTACAGTATCTTTTTTCTCCAGTAGGTAGTTTCTTCCAATAGTCAAACCATATTATCAGCAAATTGAAAACATTTTTCAAAATATATTTTTATTAATTTTCTTTTTTCACCTCGTAAAACATCATGGTATCAACAACGTTCTTGGCATCTATACAGGATTTTGGTTTAAATATCATAATACATTATATTGCATTTGTCTACTACTAAATAATATCTTTAGCTATAATTACTATTCTTATATCTTTATATAATTTACAAAATTTTATTTTACTTTCTTAAGGATTGTTTCAATTAACATTTTTGCCTCACTTCTTGGTTCTGTTTGTTAGCCATTTATACCAATTGTTCCAAATTGTAAAGAATTAAAACTCGTCTTTTTCTTTAAATTTCATTGTTAGCATATTCATCTCAGCCCTTTGTTACTTTGTGTATTATTAGTTCTTCATTGGGGGTATTTGGTGTTTTCCATACCTGCACAAAGGCTATTCTGGCGGCTGTTGTAATATGTAACACTAAGTATTTTACTTCTTTCAGTAACCTTTCTTTGATGATTCCTAAAAGGAAGGATTCCGGTCTGAGCTCAATCTGATAGCCAGTGATCTCTTTTAACCAATAACCAGATACCAGGCTAAGGAAACATACGAGAATCCAGTGGATTTACTGCTAGAGCCAAAGTGGACAATCTGGGATTGCAGTGATATAATTCCACTTCTGAAAAGTGCCATGAAAAAATTGAGAGGTAAAAAACAGCCGCTGGGGTTTTACGCTGGATGACATTTTGAGCATCCAAGAGAGATTCTGGATCACTGTCAGGGGGATCAAAGAGGGATCGATTTCAGGATCGGCAGAAGAGAGACCCTCCTTTCTCTGGGGAAAGGCCTTGTGTCTTGGCACCAGGAGGGGAAGAGGAGCTTTCTGGTTGCTCCCATTAAAGATAGGCTACCTGAAAAAGGGAAACATTAGCTACTCATAGTTGAACATTTACAAGCAATTCTCAACTGACAACAGTTCCCTTAGTGCCGTTCAGTTATAATGGCAGTGAAAAAAGTGAGTTATGATTGTTTTTCACACTTATGACCGTTGTATCATCCCCACAATCACGTGATTTACTTTTGGATGCTTGACAATGGGTTCATATTCATGACGGTTGCAGTGATCATCTTTTGTGATCTTCTGGCAAGCAAAGTCAATGGGGAAGCCAGATTCACTTAACGACTGTGTTTACCAGTTTAACAACTGCAATTCACTTAACAAATGTGAAAGGAACAGTCATAAAATGGGGGGAAACTCACAACAAATTTCTCACATAGCAACATAAATGTGAGCTCATTTGTGATTGTAAGATGAGGACTACCTGTATTCTTCATAGCCCAAATCTGTGTGCACTCATCCCTGGGGAAACAGAGTAAGTTTCCACTAAGTATAATGGAATATATATACAAGTCATTCTTGATTTATGGCCTCAGTTGAGCTGAACATTTCTGTTGCAAAGCAAGGCAGTTAGGCGATCTTTTTTGCCCCAGTTATTCAGCAATTCATGGCACTTAAGTGAATCTAGCTTCCTGTGTTGATTTTGTTTGTCAGAAGCTCCCCAGTCTGGTTGAAGAGGACAATCCCAGAACCAAGGGATGCTGCAACCATCGTAAATACATGCTGGTTCCCGGTACCCGAATTTTGATCAGGTGACTGGGGAGGCTGCAACAGTCATAAATCACTTTTGTCAGTGCCGCTGTAACTTAGATTTGATGAAATATATATAGCCATCAACGGCATTTTGGCTTGTAGATTTCCTTATTCCTTATTTCCTGATTTGAGTCCAAGGAAAGCAAACCTGGGTATCTGAGGGAGGCCCTTCTGTTCCTCCAATTCCAGTGATGAGGTGCTGAATCCCCCTCTTTTCTTCCCCAGATACTCTGGAAAGTGGACTTCAACTACAGGAAGGTAGTTGGCAAATCAAATAAAATTGGCAAATAACAATTGGCAAATCAAATCAAATAAATAAATAAATAAAATAAAATATGAGTTATAGGAATTGCAACTGCTTGCTATTTTAAGCTGTGGTGCCAGTAACTTTAAGAGAAACTATAGAGTAACAAAAAAGAACAATATAGGATTAGATACCTTAAAGACTATGGTGATCCAGTAAACTTTAATGATTGTATGATTTATGAACTATTATTGTTGTCCCCAATTCAGGTCTGTGCCTGGTGTCAAAGCCAATGATAGACACCAGATACGAGGTGCAGGTTTTCTGATTGCTTTTTATTGGAATACTCCAAGGAAAAGGGGCTCTTGGTCAAAATGCCAAGAGCCCAGAACAAAGGATTGAGTAAGTTTTATAAGTTTTTCACTAAAGGAGAAGGTGGGACAAAGTGAGATAATATGAAATATCTAATAAACATTTTAGTAAAAATTCTACAATTTGTTCTATTGGTCTCTAGCTGTCCCTATTCCCAAGTCTTGGCTAATGAATGCCCTAGGAATAATCTAATACACATTTGATTTGCTGCAGGCTTAACTTTTAGCTGAGGTCTGCAAGTTGGCTAATGCTTACTTTTATCAGCTTTCCAATTAGCCAGGATTGTTACAAGATTTACGCATGCCTGTCTCCTGTGGATAAGCATTCTTTGTTCTTGCCAGACAGACTCCACAGTCACAGGCTTCCTGATTTACTTTGAACTGTGTGCCATGACCTGGCTTTATTTTAGCAGATGGCCCATCATTATTTTTCATTAATATGTACAATATGAGCTTATGCAGCATAGACAAATTCCTTGTGTGACTGATACACACTTGGCCAAATAAAGCTGTTGTTCTGTTCTGTTCCGTGATTTCACAGAAGTATGATTGACTTGGAGTTACATCGTGTTGTTTAAGTGTTCTTTTCACACACCAGGCCTGCAGCTGAAGCTCTTGTTCTTTTCCTTCCTTCCTTCCTTCCTTCCTTCCTTCCTCCCCTTCCCCCTTACAGTGAATGTAACTCTGGGTCCATACACAGCTGATTCTGACTGCCTTAAGATCTCCGAAGATCGAAAAAGCATCACAGGACTTAAGGGATTTTTATACTGTATAAACATTCTGTCTTGACGCTCCCCTAACAGGTTAGGTGGCCTTGTAAATCGAAGGAGTGGATCAATCGATTGATCTAGAGCAGGGGTGGGCAAACTACGGCCCGGGGGCCACATCCGGCCCGTTGGT